AAAATACGATACTAAGTAAATTTTTTAAATAAAGAAATAATAGTGTAGTATTATAATAGTAAATGTATTAATTTTTATAGACATTTTTCTATTTTTAAAGCATTTTTAAGATTTCCATATTTTTCGAAGTAATAATGAAAAGTTATTATCAATGATAATAAATGATATTTCTAATAGCTTTAATTAATAATTTTGTTATTATTTTTCAATAAAATTTTGCATTTATAAATTATCATTTTAAATAATTCAAAGATTGAATTAAGTAATATTATAATTTGTTAATTGTTGAAATTTCTTCGAAATATCCTACTTTTGAGAAATAAACCGAATTCAAAAATAATTCTGTTATTTAAAAATATTTGAAATTAAAGTTTCTTGGAAATTCCAAAAAATTTAACTTTTGCAATTTCATTTCAATTTTTCTGATATTTTTTTCAATTCTTGATTATTCTTAATAAACTTGAATATTTTGTCTTTCAATTCGCAACCTATGAAATAACATAGATAAAATATATAAAATAAAATATATAAAAATTATCATTAAAATTATAATATTAACTTGGAAATTATATTTTTTTAAGTAATTTGATATTATTTTGATAATTTAAAAAAAAACTATTCAGTTTTTTTCAATTAAAAAGTTTAAACTTTAAAAATTTATCGAATAATAAAGAAGAGATTTAATAAATAATAATATTTAAGGATAATTCAATTACAGTTTTTTATGTAAATACATATTTTTTATATATGTTTTACATATTTTATATAAATAAGATAAATATATATATTTTAAATATTGTGTCACAAACAAATTGTTAAATTTTTTTGAAAGGAAGATCACAATTGATTTATAAAAAATTAACAAAAATTTCTTATATATATATTACAATTTTATGTATATAATGATATAAATAATATTTTATATTATGAAATAATTAAATTTCTTGAACAAAGGAAATCAATTATGATTTCCTTTATACAAAAAATTTAATTATTATATTTATTACACAATATTTAATATATATATATATAAGAAAATATAAAATAATACAATAAATAATTTAGAAACTAATTTATACATTAGTAAAAACTTAATCTTTTTCCAGATAATTTACAACGTAATATTTTAAGGCAAAAAGAAATCAATTTACGATAGGAAATCTTTATCTAATCTGTAAAAATTATTGTAATATAAATTATATAATATTTGCAATTATATAATTCTAAATTATAATATATTTGCAAATTATATTTTACAAATATAATATAAATCTTATGATATATGATATATGATATATAAATCTTATGATATATATAATATATATATATATATATATATGATTAATATATTTTCTATATATTTTTTATATATTAAATTAATATTTTGCACATTTTAACTAAAAATTTGTAATTTATCAATATATATATTTTCGGAATATGTGAAACCTTAAAATATTGAAATTTAGATATTTCGATTAAAAAAAAACCAACATTTTATTCTTCAGTGTGGTATAATTCATTATCGTAAATCACAAAATCGTTGTTTACGTATTCTTAATCATCATTTTCCACTAATCATTATAATTTATCGACACGATCAATAGTGACATTAATCGCTGTGTATTGACTTACATCTTGGTAAACATGTACTGATCGATTGACAGTTTATTGATGGTTATTATCGCGTGAATTTAACGATCTGAGCAAAGGTATATTTTCATGAAACCATTACTGTGCTTATATATAAAACTTTCTCAAACATTCTTTATTTTCTTCAGCCGAAAATTTGGTTGAATTTCAAATCGTCACGCCGGGCTCATTATCCTGTCCTGCAAATATCATGATTTAGCTCGCAATTTTGAATAATTTCCTCCATAATATCAGATGAAACGAACAAGGCATTTCAAAGAAAGTGTACTTTCAAATGCTTTTGCTTTCTCTTTCGTCTTTTTTGTCATTTTTAAAAAAATATATATATATATATATATATATTTTATCCATTCGTATCTTCATATATATATATATATATGTTAAGGATATATTTTTTTTCTTTCTTTTCTTTTTTCTTTCGTATCGTTTGAAATTTAAATTAAATTTGACGATACAAAATTTTTATTATCAGAAAATAAAAAATTGGATTATGTTTCTCACAATTTTTTATTCGTTCTAATTTATTCTTAATTTTCTTTTTTTATTTTTAACATTCTAAATATTCTGAGTTTTTAACATCCTAAATAAAATTTACAATCACATAGAGATCAAACTAATAAGACTAATTATTTCTTTGAGCATTACGTTTTAATGCTAAAATCAGATAAAAAGTAAAATTCATTAGTTTGGCTTCTGAGTATTGGCTTATATTTGATCTTTGGAGGATTGAAAAGACTTTATATAATATTATTTTAATTATTTTTTCCATTTATTAAAGTTAATTTCAAATATTAATTCAAATGTTAAAAATTTTTTAAATTTGATTTCATAATCATAATCAATATGCTTTTCTTATAAATTTCTTATAAACACAGAATTAAAAAATTTTTCATTTTATTCTATCTATAAAGCTCGAAAAACTATTATTTATTGATATAGACATATATTTATATACATACATAGACATATATTTATATACATATATTGATAATTAACTTACATTGGGCATATTTCATATACATATATACAGTTCTTCAGAAACAAATCTATTAATTATATCATTTGCCAATCTGTAAAGATTAATTTGTTCTTTTAAAAAAATTAGAAAATTGTTTAAGATAAAAATCTTATTTCTTTTCACAAATTTTATAATTTAAAAGTAATAATATTTCTAATAATATTTTCTAATAATTTTATAAAACTGGCTTATTGCTTATTGTTGTCTTATTATTTATAAAGCAAAAGAAATCATTTCAATATATCTAAAATATATTTATCAATACGCAACAGCAAATTATTCATTATTTTTACATTTCAAATAATAAGAATTTCTTGATGAAGATTTCTGCAAAATATATATTTTAAATTCTCTTATAATTTCTCATTAATGATTCTCAATAATCATTAATTATATTTTTTAAAATTCAGATGCTGTTTCCGACTTTATATTTTATGCGTAAGAAAAAAATTATATATATAGTTCTAGAAATCTCTATGTAATAAGAAATCGATGTGCATGCGTATCTAAGAAGCTACATATGCTTGTCGACCTGTTGCTACTCCTCCTTCGTTTCCATCACTTCTCCAACTCTCCGTGACCATCTCTTCAATTCACCCCCTGCTAGAAAACTGCAAAACTCTTACTTCGTTTAGCTCATTGAAAGCGCTCTATTCTGTGTCGATTTCTAGCTATCGGTTTTCTTTTTTTATTTTTTAGGAAAGATACATTGATACTTATGCATCCAATGTTTCGCACATCAGTAATGTTTTATATATTTCTTTTGATTCTTGGCTAGTTTTCTGCTTTATCTTTTGTTTCCATAGAAATAAGAAATAATATGAATAAAAAAGAATTGAATTTTTAATTTTTTATTAAACTATTCTTTTTTTTTTTATTTAATAGTAATAGTAAAATTTTTTTTCCATATTTTCATTGAATTTTGCTTCTATAAATCATTCGAAGTTTTCTAAATGTAAATCATATAAAAGATAAAAATGTATATTTTATTTAAATATTTTTTTAATCAAAAATAATACTTTTTCTTATAATGAGAAAATATTTACTTTTTTATTTATTTGATTTCTTTCTACAAATTTTCAAAATTGTTTTGTATAATATCTGCATTAATTAACATTAAGAAATTATTGTTTATGTTATTAAATAACATTTATTAATTTGAATTAAAATTAATATTATGAATTTCAAATTTTTTCAAATTTTTTCAATTTCTTTCTTATTTAAGTTTCTTCTAAAAAATTTTAAATTTTAAATTTCTAAATTCTATTAAAGTAATTTTTTTATTGCAACATATTAACTATTTTCCTTCAATTTTATTTTAATTTGTTATATCAAATTACTCTTTTATTCCTATTATTTTTATTATCTTTTTTCCTTTTCAAGAAAAGATATTTTCTCGTGCATTTTTTAAACCGTTTATTTTTCTTCTATTTCTATTTTATTCAAACGAACGTGATTGTTAAATTTCTTCTCAAATTCGCTTTTTTCTCAGTATATATCGTAATTCATAATACATAGAAATTAATGATAAAACATTGATTCTGATACACTATATTCTTCGATTTATTGATTAGGAAAATGATGAAGAAAGAAAAACTTTGACTTAAATTTGCATTAGATGAAACGAGATAAAGATAGAATGAGATAATCTTATTTTGTTTATATCAATACCGCATTCTTTTTCTATCTAACTTAAATTATTCATAATTTAATAAACAAAACTTAACTTAATAACTTATAATAAACTTAAAAGTTATTTTTATATACTTTTATATTTTTAATTAATTAACTCTTTATCTCTAGAATTAATTCTTTACAGGATCCATTCGTGCACGAATATATTAAAATCTCTTATATATAATACTTTTTTGTATATTTTTATTATATTTATATTTTTTTATATAATTATATAATATTTTTTATATAATATTACTTATTTATAATATATAAAATAATATTCCCAAAAATAGATACAAGATATAGATAAATTTTAAAAGATCTTAAAATAGAAAAAAATTTGATAAGACAAATTTAAATTAATGATACAAGATGATTTCGAGATCATCTCTACTATCAAAATATTTTAATAAATTTTCTAATAAACATTTTAAATAAAAGCATGCATATAAAAGAAATTTACATCAATTTGGCTTAAATTTATCTAATGATTTAAATTTTTTTTCTATTTTATATAGTATGCCTTATATATTATAGTTTAAGAACTATGCAATAAAAATCATATACAATTTATATGTAGAGAAAATAAGAATTCTAAATAAGATTTTAAGAAGTTATAAAATGTTATGAAATGAAATAGGTTAATAGTATTTTAAGATAAAATTTTTTTTTATTTAATTTTTCAGCCTCGGGAGGGGGAGGTTCGATGTTGGTCCCTCCCGTGGCCCAAAGTGGGACTGGGGATCGTCCCGTGGGCGACACGGGTGCTCGGGCTCAACAAACATCAGGTCCTGCAGCAGCAGCAACCCTATGGCCCTTAGCATCCGCACAGTCCAATCAAGTTCCAAACCAACAGTCTCAGGGTATTCCACCCTTGGCTGCTACTCCCGCGCCAGCTCACAATCAAGGTACATTATTTTCCTATATTAATTAATAAATCATTAGTAGACAGTTTTTTTTTTAAACTGAAGTAATTTAAAAATTTATTTAACTAATAAAGTAATAATTTGATTAAATTTTATGGATAAATTTATTAATAAAAAAAAGAAATATTGATATTTGTGATAATAGTATCAAGTTAAAAATTTGTGATTTTAGTTCAGATTTAAGAATGAATATTTTTATGAGGAAACTATATTTTTATACAAGATTCAAAACAAATTAATTTTTTTTCAGTTAATAAAAAAAAAATATTTTATTTTCAATTATATATATATATTTCTATATGCATATAATTGTATATGAATTGTATATCATGTTATATAACATATTGTATATATGTTATATAATTGTTTTTATGAAAATTGTATTGATCTGTCTAAAATTATTAATTTTATTTCTTCTATTTCTATCCAAGAAATTGCTAAGAAATAGGAAATGAAATAATTTGTACTGAAAGTAATAAATTAATAAGATATGTAATATTTTTATACATGTACACATTTTAGCAAAGAACTTTATCTATGAAATATTTCTTCGTAAAAAATTTAATTGATTTTATAGTAACAGCTAATCTAACTTTAAATCTAACTTTTATTATTATATTATTGTATAATGTGCTATGAATATCAATATTTTAACAAATGGTTCGATGTATTATTTGATAAACAACTCAATTATTGTTTTTCATTTAAAAAAAATATTATTAGATTTTTTTCTTATATTTATTTTTAAATATATATTTATAAGTACTCATTTTATCCTTGAGAAAAATATTTTCAATAATTAATAATCTAATATTATCTAAAACATTATATAAGAATATTAGATGTTTCTAAAAATTATACATCTTAAACTAAAATTTATAACATATAGATATTGAGTGCAAATATTGTTATTTGTTATTACATTTTTGTATATTTTGTAATATTACAAATTATTATATTACATTTTTATTATATTTTTATATATTTAACATTACAAAATAATACATAGAGATTTTTCTAAATAATTAAAATTTTCGAAATGTAAAAGTTATTATTACTTTAAAAAATATCTATTTGCTAAATTTGAAGAGCTTGAAATATTAATATAATAAATTTCGAGCATCTGTTTTTCATGAAAATCACAAAGAGCTTATTATATAAAGTACAAATGCCAAAGGCAAATAATATTAATATATAATATTAATACATAATGTTCAAATTGACGCATCACAATATTTTTTAATCTATAAAATTTATTACAGTTTTATATTTGCTTACATTATAACTATATTATTAGAAATATAATTCATGATTTCATGAATGACTTCATAAAAAAGAAATCAATTTTCCATTAACAACATTTAATTTAATATTTAATTAATTTCCATAATAATAATAATATTATAATATTTAAGTAATTTTTGGATTGAAATAACTGAAAAAAATTATTAATGTTTTATTATAAAAATTAATAATAATTTATATTGAATTTCTTTCTATATTATTTGATAAATATTTTGATCTTTAATTGTTTTTTTTTTTTTTAAATACTTAAGAAAAAAGGAACATATATAATAAGAATACATTACTATATTTATGGACATTGACTATATATTTTTTTTTTATTGAAATCCGTCTTTTTGACAAGTATATTTGTTGACTGGGTAGTGGAAAACAATAAATAAAATATACGGGTTTAGCTGAATGAATATATTTGATTATATGTGATTGCGCGTATCTGTTTACAAAGCATTTGAAATACGTGTATCGAAGAGAAACAAATAGCTACCAACTATGAAATAGTAATGTTGCT